TTTTTAAATATAAATGTATACCATAATTACAGGTAAGAAATATACCATTTTTCTAAATCTAACCCAAGAACTTGTTTCAATATACCTGAAACAGAAAATACCTGCTTAATCTCTCATTTAATATTTAAAAAATTTATATAGGGAGATAAGGTATGCATATTTGATTTCCAACACATCCTCAAAAGCCAAATCTCTCCAAGAATCTTAATGTTATAAAACGGAAGCAGACAGGACAACAGCTACTGTGGATAGGCTATTAAACAGTTATCAATTAAAATTCTTTTTAAGTACATGTCATGCAATAATCCTAAAATACACACTACAAATAGTTACTCTCATCATATTTCATTAGGACATCTCTCTGTCCCCAATTTTCCAGAAATATCAAATTCTGTTTCCTGACATACTTTCTTTGCTTTAAAATAACCACAACATAATAGGTTAGGGTAGCTGAAGTGGCCACTTAATTTGTTCTAGTATAATACAATCTTTTCCCTTTCTCTATCACAAAATTTTTGAGGGAAAAGAACTCAGGCAAGCCACTCTAGCAACACCAAAAATTTTACATAATCAATAGACCATAATTTTTGTGATATATAGATATATACTGTATTTCTTTGCAATCCCAAGACTACTTATAGTTGCATCTATGGTGTACCTTAACAAGTGCTTCCATAATACTAATACTACTACCTGAGAACACCTTGACGACAGATATAGGTGGACTGTTGATATGTCAATGTGTTTTCAAAAAGTTGTGCAAATAAATTCTTAAAAAGCAATAAGAGAGGTTAGGAAGGCTGTCATTTATGCTAGCAAACTAAAAAATCTTCTGTAGTCTTTCCACAGTGTAAGTTGCCCTTTGGGTTTGTTTTGGAAGTCTGCAAAGTTCTAACAGTTAAGGAAGTTAGCATGGCCATTGTTCAGCAAGCTGCACAAATTTAGAAACAAAATTTTCAATACTACTCATGTAGGAAATAAACTGCATAAGGGCAATCAATTTCCTATTCCTTTTATTATATGCATCACTCGAAAACATGCTTATGTGAAAAGATTTCTTCATATGGCCATAAAATGACCTATTTATAAGTTTTTTAAGAACAAAAGTAAACTAAATATATTCCATGTATTTTCGCCCTGTAATTATTTTTCACTATTACTATCTTCCAAAGGCGCCTCTGAAGCCATAAACCTTTTTATCCAAAAGCACAAACTCAGGGTCAATGTTCCCTAAGTTTCGAGAAACTTTGAGAAACTAAGGCAGAATTTCTCCAGACCTGTCTTTATTTCAAGTGTCTCTACCTAGATACGGAGAAACTTAATTTCATTCGACCATCATTGGCCAAATCACTGGACGGCAGACTGCAGAAGAAAGGATCTTCCAACACACATACACACAC